AACAACCAAGGAATTTAATCTCTTTATCTAGAGAGTGGCTCTCCTGCCAAGTTATCATCCACAGTAATAATGACCTGAAATGGAAAGACTATCCCACCAAGGATCCCATCTTTGACAAGTTATATATTAATATATTAACAGCCACGAACAAACAGACATGGGCTTTTGAAGGAGAAAATTTGAGTTTGAGCGCTAGCCACATCCTCATTAACGTGTGACCTCTGGCAAGTCACCTAACCTCTCTGATCTTCAGTTCCTAATTCTCTCTGTAAATTGGAGTTGATAATAATACTTAGCAAGCAAGGGTGTTAGGAAGGTAAGTTCCTGAGGGGCATCATAAGTGTTATACTCCTATACAATGGCTAATTATTATTATTCACACAGAGGGAAGTCAAATTCCATTTTTAAAACAAAATCCAAGGAACCACTGAGACACTTTTGCTGTATACTAAATTTGTGTTACATGCACATGGCCTTGGAAATCTTATGTGACAGATATTCCAGTACTTCATATTTGTTGTAACGGGATATAACCTTCAAAGAAAGAGCATGGCGAAACCATTTGGGAGAATGATGGTAAGGGAGGAGTTCTTTATTTAGTAGTGTGGAGCCTAGTAAGCATCCTCCCTGCTAAGATTATACTGAAAATAAAGGAAATTGCAGACTGCTCATTTCCCTTGTACTTGCTGTAATCTTGTGGAAACTTCCTGTAAAAGGCAGTTATAGCATTGAAAGTAAACTGATTTCACACTCACCGGATACTACCAGACCAACAATTGAAGTCCTTTGGGAGAAAAATAAAACAGCTTATTTCTTTCTACTTTGTATTGGTTTGGAAGAACATGGAAACCCTAGTGATGGAGAAAGACTCATGCCAGAGGCAAGGAAACTATTTAGAAACATGGTTACCATTTAGTAATTCCACTGAGAGGCAAAGCTCATTAGTCAAGAGACTGGTTACAGAAAAAAAAGTCATTCATTAAAGTACAGCATGAAAATAGTAACCCCTTTGATCTAGGCACATATTAACTACAGTTTTAAAATACAAAATTTTAATACCATCTACTACGGGGTGATGTTAAAAGTAGTTTCAGAAGTGGAAATGTGTACATGTATTTTATATACAGTTAGAACCTCAAAGTTGGCATGGCTGTCTTCTCTTTTGGCTTTGCAAGTATACATATACTTGCTGAGAGCTTATTAGTGCAAGGCACAGTGTGTGTGAAATGCTGAATTGCAGTGGTACTTAGGTCACAATAGGATGCCAGAGGGGACTCCTGATTTAATCATTGTGTCAGTCAATGCAGCTTCATTTTTATACACACACAAGGCTTTGGCATCATATTTCACTTGAAAAGCTTCCATTACTTAACACCAATGCTGAAGGGAACATCAAAAAATATAAAATGTTGTCTGCCTTCAAGCCATTTAAAATGAAACTGGAAAAACAAACATAAATTCATGAAAAGTTGAATCGCCAAAAAAAAAAAAGCGGGGGGAGGGGGAAGAATTATTAATACAGGCATAAAACAGTAAAGGCAAAAATAAAAGTATTTGAGAAGACAAATTCTGAGTTCATATGAAAGATGATCACTATGGACAGAGTGGTCTGGAAAGAGGGAGAAAGCCCTGAATCGGGGCGCTGCATGCCATCTTCCAGTACCTCCATGAGGTGAGGCCACTTTTCTGGCTTTGTGAATTCTGGTCTGATGCTGACCAGGAACTCAGAACCAACTTGTACCTTCTTAACTTTGATGATGTCCTGTAGTGGCAATTACCTGGCAACTGTGCTGTTGGCTCATGGATGCTTTAGATAATTAATCATCTATATAACAGGCTGTTAAGTGTTAAGTGGCTGTAGCTAATTCCTAAGCTGAGGACAATGGTACTGAGAGCTACCTGTGAGCACCAGCTATTGTGACCAGCCTCCTTTCCACAGACCCTCTTGAGAAAATACAACCGAGCAAATACAAGGGTTCCTTGTACTCCTGACCCCAATGGGGCCACAGAATCCTTCTTGACTAGTGTTCAACCAACTGAGTTGGAACTCAACAAATGGAGTTGGAACTTAAGGTGAAATCGTGATCTCTACTGATCTTCTCACAGCTTTTCAAGTCTTGTTGAATCCATCTTCCTTAGCTGAACCAGTTCTCTGGCCTTAGCCAGTATCTACCTTAGCCTACGACATACCTTGGGCTACCCTCTTTTGTGTTGGGCTTCAACTAGGGATGTGTTCAGAGATGTGATGACACAAGTAGGAAAGGGGGAGTAAACTGTGAAGGGCTAAGGGAACCTGGCATACTTCTGAAAAGGCAGATTTGTCAGTCCTATTACAGGTCTGCAGGTCAATCTCTGGAGTGCGATCTAGGAATCTGCATTAAAGCAATACTTGCAGTGTATAGCAGTTCCTCAAATAGCATTATTTCACTCAACATCCTTTTGTTATACCATTTATGACATGCCACAGGAACTTCACTCTTGTTTATATCAATTAGCCTATGGTAAACCGATTTTGTTATATGTCAATGCACAAAAAAGTCACAGAACCTATCAATGTTAAGTGAGGACTGCTTTTAAAAAAGAACTGTTTGGGGACTGTGTCTTGATCATGGGATTAGGAACAATTTAAAAGCATTAATTCAGGCTGTTGATCATATCTTGCCCCTTTAAGTAAGCAATACGTGTGAAAGTAGCCAGCATAGTGTCTTGCACATGACAGCCGAGATGGTTTTCATATCTTCTCTCAAGCCTGTTATTGATAATTTCCCTGATGCACTTGAACCTCAAACAGATACAAATCTTCTTCAAAAGAAAATGATGGCTTACTAAGGACCAGGTTATGTGTCTAGCAACAGTGGCACACAGAAAAAAATAAGAACCCGGTTATTTATTGAATGAATGAACAAGGCTACTGAATGCTTTACATTAAACCATCAGAGCAACTGGCACTGCTTTGTCGTCGAGTTTATTATTACCTCCGTTTTATAAAACCATAGTGAGAGCTAGGACTCACTGAGCTCTTAATCTATTTGAAGTGCTTAATGTATATCATTACCTCATTAATTAGTACAGCAGCTATATGAGTTAGGTTCTATTATCCCCATTTTACACAGGCACAGAGTTTAAGTAACTTGTCTAGAACATAAATTATAACTGATTGGGGCTTGATTCAAATCTGAGCAGCCGAAGGGGTTAGCAGTAGTACTGGAAGGACTACAGGCCAGCACCAACACTCCCAGTTACAAGTTCTTCACAGAAACGATATAAAAAATAAAACAAAAAACAACTCAGGTTCTGAGCTAACAGAGGTAAGATCTGATCATCCCAGATCCCCTCACCTCTTCCTGTCACCAACATTGCCCCTTCCTTGCTTTCAGTAAGGAGAATTCTTTTGCTGAGGCAGGAAGCAAGAAACCTCGGAAATCAACGGAATGCTTTTTTGGGCAGATGACTGGTTTAGCTCCTTTATTCATTCGTCACACATTTATTAGGCACCTACTATGCGCAGAACACTGTTAACCGGCTCCTGTGTACCAGCTCCTGAGAGCACTCCTGAAACTTCATGGAGACAGATGGAAGAAGAGGAATGCTGGCATGTTTGGGAACTTCTCCCACTTTCTTCTTCCTCAGAAATTGTTCTATCCCTCAAGGAGGCAGGAGCAGCAACCTTCATTCCTAAGTTGCACAAACCTGAGAATGAAGAGCAGAGCATTGCGCACAAAGCTAGACTGATTACCTGGCGAGATGCGTCAGAAACTTGGGAGCACTCGGGATTCAGTCCCCGAGGCCGGATCATGTATAGGCTGGCTTTCTAGGTAGAGAAGAGATAATAGAATTTGCAGAGCTCAGAGTCCTCTGGGCGAGTTGACCCTATATTCCAGCCTAAAAACCCCAGCAGGTTTCTGTGCAAAAAACCTTTGGCGATGAATGCATACATTGTCCTCTAACAATGCAAACGTGACAGCTGCCTATTCAATACTCGTTCCGCCTCCGTTCAGAGCAGTTCGTGCCACAGAGGCATCTTCTGCGCTATAGTTATGCAACCCTCACTCGCAGCAGGAGTTATTTCCTGTGCTTCAGGCTGCGCCAGATTCATGTAACACTCCTACCCTGGGCTTCAATGGAAGTCGTTCTCCATTAACAACCGCTCTAGCTTTCGGAGATGAATGCCCTCTACAGCATACCCCTTGCGCAGTAAAAATCCAAGGTATTACAACTCTTTTTCTCTCTAACACACACACACACACACACACACACACACACACACGCTCACACACTCATTCTCGTTCGTGCATGCAGCTAGGAGACTGCAGCAATGCAACCAGAGGGACAGCAGGCGGAGCTCTCTTTGTACAGTCCTTGCTCTAACCCCCACCAACTAAAGATGAACTCATGCCAGTTCCATTCTTTGCTCTGCAAGGAAAACACACACACACACACACACACACACACACACACACACACACACACGGCAGAACAGAGTAGCCTCCAATTTCCTCCTTGACCACACTGTCATTCTAGCCTGTTCGTTCAAACAACCGGATATTCCAAAGCGAGTAACGGGGTGTACCGCGCCGCAACAATGCAACCTCCCAAGCAGCTCCCTGTGCAGCTCACACCCCCGCCCCCTTTCGCAGCGTGCCAAGAGTTTGGAGCGCGCGCACGCACACCGAGCACGGTGCCTAGCGTATCCCTCCGCCTCCCTCCTCCCTCTCCCCGCTCAGTGGCTCGACAACGATTTGGGAAATGAAGGGAGGAGGGAACTACTTTCCTGAAACTTGCTATGCTGCACACGACTTCGAGTTGCAGTGATTCGCCCGGAGCCCACAGCTTTGGGTCCTCCTTCGCACACACCCTCCCAGCCCCGGGACCCCGCTCGGCAACCCCACCCCGTGCTCTCTTTGGCCCCCCGGGGAGGCCGGCGGCCAGGAGAAGTCGCCAGGGACTACTTCGCCTCCTTCTCCCGCGGGCGCCCCCGGTTCGGGCAGCAGCGGCGGCGGCGGCGGCGGCGGAAGGAGCGGGCGGCGTGAGCGCTTCCGCCGCCCCCCTCGCGGCTCCCCTCTGGCGGGCGTGAGGAGGTGAGGAGCTGGCCCGCCGAGCTTGTGGTGGGCACCGGCTGACGGGGAACCTGCGGCCGCTCGCCTCGCTCTCAAGCCGCTTCTTCTTGGGACCCTGCTCCCCGGACGCTCCCGCTCTTCGCCTGCCCGGGTGGGGGCGATCGGGTCGCCTGCCTCACACACTCCCCGCCGCCCCCTCCTCCCCCTTGTGGAGTCGTCCCGGCTGGAGTGTCTGGAGGAATCCGCCGCCCCGAGGCCCCTCGCCCGATTCTGCTCGTCCCTGAGGACCGCCCCATTCGCTGCCGGGGGCTGAGCGGGAGATGGTGGGGTGGGCTCCGGCAGGACCGTGCCGCCGCCGCCCGGAGCCTGGGCTCGGCAACCCCCCGGCAGCCCCCACCGAGGGGACCTCTGCTTCCTCCTCACCGCATCCCTGAGGGAAGCGCCGCCTCTGCTCCCGGGTTCTCCGCCCGCCCTCCCGCTCCTTCCTGGCCGGACCCCGCCTCGCTCCACCCCAGTGGCCAGAGGAGCAGCTCTCCAGTCAGCCTTCGCGGTCCCCCTTCCTTTTTCCCTTTCCACCCACCCTTCCCGGCCTCCTCGGATCCCTTGGCTGGGCGCTGAAGCGAGGGAAGAGGCTGGGGTCGCCACGGCCGAGGTTGTTGCCGCCGCCCCCCTGCGGGGGTGGCTGGGGTTCCCGGCTGGGGGGGCTCCGTTCCGGGTGAGGCATCCACCATGGTGAGGCCCCTGAGCCGCTGCCCCCGCGCCCCCCCGGCCGCCTCTGCCTCCTGCCCCTCGGTGCTGCTGCTGCTGCAACTCCGCCTGCTGTTGCTCCTCCATCTCCAGATCGGATCACGGTGAGGGAAAGATGAGCGAGGAGACGGCGACTTCTGACAACGAGTAAGCGCCTCATTGATCTTGATTACACCCCCCCCACCCCCCGCAGCCTTTCTCCGCTGTTCCCCAGACCCCTCTTGAGACTTGGGTGCTGGGAAGCTTGCAACCCTACAGAGGTCGGTGCATCTTGTTCTGCAGATAACATTTGTTTTCTTTTAGCCATTTTATTTAATGGCAGCACCCTACCCCCCCCCCGCTCCCCATCCCACCCCCTCTTTTGCTTTCTTCTGGGGAAGGGTATTGAGGGTTGTGGTGGGATGGCAGTTTTACGTCCGGGAGATGGAGTAATGTGGATGGATGGAGGCAGGGTGGAAATTACTACCGCTTTGCCTGAAAGACCTTTGGCCTGTCCTTTTTCACTTGAGCATACCAATCAACATACCCTGAATATCCATCCTGCTTGCTTTATAGCTATTTCACTTGGAAACTAATGTGTGGGAGCACCTCCTGCAGCAAACGGCTCTTGAATCTTAATTCGATGAGTCAGTGACTCTTTAATACCGATTAAGCCTCCATCCCCCTCCCCTCCTTTTTTAAACTTATGACCTGTAAGATTCGTGTAAAAAAGTGGGGCTAGAGAAACATTTTTAGAATTTAATAGGATTAAGGACACATGGCGTGTAGGAGACGTTGAACTAATATATTTTACCTTTGCGAACATTGAACATGTCTTTATCACGAGCATAGAAGGATTTTGAATGCTACATTTTTATCCTTCAGCTATATTAAAATACACCATTTACATTGATTTAACTGTATTTAAATTGCTGAACGTGTTGATGACTTAATTGATGAACTTCTAGACCATCCCGGTTGAAGTTTCTATTTGGCCTGTCTTTAGGTTTTCCAAACGAAGTACTTTGCCTCTTAAATATTTTGCTTTGACGTACCAGCTGCCTAGAGGAGTAGTGGTGCGGTGACAATTTCTTATTGAGTCGGGGATTTAATTGCATGCAGAATATTAGCAACCGTTTTTCTTGAAATTAAATTCAAGTTTTGTTTATCTTTAAAGGGTTGGAAAGAGTTAAGTGAGCGAGGGCTAGTCCTTTCAAGTGCATTCCTCGAGTCAGACCTTTTTGAGAGGACTTTAAAGTCCAAAGCCTAGGCCTGTTTAACATAAAATAGCTTAAGAAATGCCAAGCAGCGTTTCTCCTTCCTCCCCTCCCCCCCAACACACTCTTCTGATGAGCGGGTGTGGGAGAAGGTAGATTGCTGCAGTGTCAGTGCAGTCTAGAATCAGAAGTGGCCGCCATGTTCTCTCTTTTTGTGAATCGCCCTCATTTGCATAGCACACTCTTCATTCATAAAAAAATAATTAAACATCCATCACCTTGGACATCTTGAAAGAATTGCCCAAGAAAAATATTCGAAGCTTGATTGTCTGTCTTCACGTAGATTTTTGAGTTCGGGAAGTTAGGAGAATTCGAAGTTACAGGTTAAATTCAAAAACATACGCACTGACACAAACAACTACCCCTGTTCTCAGAATGTTGACACAGTTATGTGGGAAATATCAGTTCGGGGAGGTGCTGGGATCACGTGATCGCCTCCATTCATAAAATACCTGGCTGTCCATTCACAGTGCAGTACACTGTCTCACTGCCTTCCGCAGATTAGACCTACTTTGAGAGAGATCAAAAAGTACTGCATCTCAGATATCGCTTAGTCAGGAGAAAAACTGCTAAAATTTCTGAACGCAGTGACGATAATTTTTGCTATCTTTTAAGAAAGCTTGGATCAAAATGTCAAGTTCTATTTTAGAGGTGGGAAAAGCCTAATTACCATATTTAAAGTATTATATTGAATACCTTCTTGTTGGGTGCAGCTGATAGAAAAGCAAATGAGGGAATGTGAATTAACACGTGTAAAATATGTTGTTTTTAAATGGGCTGTTTTTTGTAAGACTTGCCATGGACAAATTGAGAGTGCAAGTTTTTGGTGTAGTGATGTCAGCAGATGAGACTGCTGTTACATGAAAAATGAGTAAATATTCCCAGTGGTTTAATCCCCAAAATGTTGATGTTTGAAATAGCAAGTGGCAATTTTTACTGGGAGGTTGCCTTGTTATTTTTTAAATTTTAAATGTACTTAGTATGGGACAACTTGGAGATTACCTCACTCACCCAAACTTACGATTCTGTTTTCAAATTTATCCTGCTTTATTAATGTTATTCCCTACAAGCTTTGTTAAAATGTTTTTGTAGGACAAGAATAATATGTTTTAGCATATAATATTTTGCTATTTGATGTTAACTATTCATGAGGACAAACTCCTGGGGTTTTACTTTAAAATTTTTTTTACATTTTTAAATGTTTATTTGGTAATCAGTTTTATTAGAGTCGATATTGTGCATTAGCTCAACCACAAAGAGTGAACTTCTTTGGAACATAGTTTTTATTCTGATCATTTATATATCTCATCTTTAATATATACTGTTTTGAAATGGCAATTTATTTATAATCATATGTATTATGAAGAAGCGAAAGAGATAGATTATGGCAGGCACCCTTAAAGCCCTAAAAGCATTATCATAGTTTAAAACTGCCCTGTAATGTGGATTTTATTTATAAAATCCTTACGTATATTTTTTCCTTTTCTTTCTTTAAAGACACAATCAATAGGAATTTAATTACGGTAGACAATGTTCTTAACACTCTAATGTTTTTTCACCTGATTTCAACCTTTAAAAAAAGGGAAAATCACCAGTATCTTGAGAAACCTTAACCTTTTCTAGCCATTGTGGTAAAATCCAGTAAGGCTTTTAGAGGCCTCATTTTTAAACCCTTTAGTACATGCTCTATTTTTTTGAAAACAGTGTTCTGTGTAGAGAGACAGATAGTTCCCAGAGGTTGATTGTGAGTATATATTTAATCAAGAATTACTGAAGGATCTATTACGTGTAAGATTTTGTCTTATGCAATGCCAGACTTGAGGAAGTGTTCGTAAAAGTCAAATTTTCTTCTCCAACCTTTAGTAGGAACTGGAACTGAATTAAAAGTGCCAGTTTAAAAAATAGTTCCCTCCATGCAAAAATAATAATTTTACACAATATACAAAATGGTCTTTAAAATGAATAAGTAATAATAATTTCTTTACATTTCTACTACTCAGATAACGTATTAACATTTAGTATATAATCAAACCTTTCTTTTCCTATGATGTTGATGAATCATACTCATTTATTGATTTTTACTATGTGCCAGGCACTGTGATAAGTGCTTTACACATGTAATATATGATTTATGTATATAATAAATTCTCAATAGAATACTATCATAGCTTAATATATTGTGAATATTTTCCTATGTCACTAAATATCTTCTAGAACATAATTTTTAATGGCTGCATTATATTCAGTATATATAACATACATTAGTTTTAATTATTGGATATATCTGTTATTTCTGAACAGTGCTCCATTTGATCCTGAGTTCTGTCTTCATCCAAATCTATTACTTTTTCCTTGAAATAGTCTAAGAATGGAGTTAAAAGAGATGCACACTTTAAGTTGTTTCATTCTTTCTGCCAAATTGCCCTCTAGAAAAGAAAAACTCAGTATATGAGAATGCTTGTAAACCTTAAAATGTCTGCCTAGTTATATAAAAATTTTTTTTGCCAATTTTGAAGGTGGAAATCAGATCTTGTGCCTATTTTTAAAACGTGTTGATGGTAAAATAAAATTGATTTTTAAAATAACAAAAAACTTGTTAGGTTGCTCTTGGGGAACTAGACTGTGTTAAAATACTATATTATAAATAGAATTAACGTGATCATACAAAAGGTGTTTGCAGATAATTTATTTAACTTTTGCCAACCTTTATGATGCAGTACAGTATAGTGTAAAGAGCACTGGACTTGGAATTGGGAGATGCTTTTCGATCCTAGCTGTCACTAATTTATTCTGTAATTCCAGGCAAATGACAGCCTCGGTGGACCTGCATTTGCTTGTTTATTTATAAATGGAGGTATTTGAACTAAACATTATATGGGTCCTTCCTATGCTAAATTCCCCTAAAGTAATACGGTGACAGGTGCATTGCTCACTAGACTTGTAACATACATATATATATTTTTACATGCATTTTTTTTAATTGATTAATTTTATTGTGGGTTTGTTTTTTTTTAAGATTTTTATTGGGGAAGGGGAACAGCCAAGTTGTTGTCCTTCAATCTTAGTTGTGGAGGGCACAGCTAGCTTAGCTCCCAAGTCCAGTTGCTATCTGGCCGCCCATCAGCAGCTTGTGGCCACTCAACTCAAGGTGCTGTGTTCAATCTTAGTTGCGGGTGGGCATAGCCCACCATCCCATGTGGGAATCAAGCCAGAAACCTTGTTGCTAAGAGCACACGCTCTAAGCACTGAGCCATCCGGCCATCCTTCGGCAGGTCAGGGTGTAACCCACCATCCTATGTGGGAGTCGAACTGGCAACCTTGTTCTTAGGAGCATGTGCTCTCACCAGCTGAGCCAACCGGTTGGCAGCTCAGCGGCTACTCAGCTCGGGCGCAGCTCACTGGCCCAGGTGGGAATCAAACCAGCTTGAGCTCTTAACCAACTGAGCCACTCGGCTGGCCCTATTATGTTGTTTTGACATATTTAAGCAAGTAAAAGACTTCTAGTAGAGATCTGATAGGATGATAAAGTAAAAGCATGAGTTATGAAGAACCAAGATAAAAAGTTTGGAAACAATTGGTATGTTTGAAAATCTTTTAAGATTTTTTTGTTTTGGACTTAATAGCCATGTGTCTTTGATAATATATACATCACAGATGGAGAACTTTGTACTGCTCTTTTTGAGCCTCTTTTTAAGGCTATTGGGCTTAAATACTGACCTTCATAGTTCTTAGAGGAATACTTAACACTAACAAGATACCAACCCTCATGCTTTAATTGGCCACGAAGTGCCAAGAAAGTCTTGTCATTTGATTATTCATACAAGTCATGTGATTCTAACACTAAGGGATAACTGTATATTTCATTAGTTTAAGAAATTAGTGCAGACGATA